GAAAGCAAACTCCCTTATTGATAAGTAAATTTCATTTGGGCACAAAGATTTGACATCCTAAAATACTAGTGTTTTTTCTTTGCCGATCTTTTTATGTATCCTTGAAGGACGTTCACAGCCTGTTCAAATGGTCCATCAGGGATGATGCCCTCTTTGAGCCATGCCTGACATCCGACTAGGCGTTCCATCGTCTTCGGAAGCATGCTGCCTCGAGATGGGGTGCATACATCAGCTGCAGCGGAAAAAGTCCTTTCGCATGCGCAGGAGGTGGCCAATAAGGATAAATAATCGCGGGCAAGTTTTGCCAGGTTTGGGAAATGGTGTTGATGCTCCTGTATGAGAATACAAAGTAAGGTCAGGTATAGTCACACATGAATAAGCGAAAAAGTGAAGAGTGGACAAACCTTCCACCACATGAGGGGGGTTTGGCCTTTTCCAATTGGGTATCGACCTTGAAGATACTCGTCTAGTTCAGAAAGTGAAGGATTGCTTACATCACCAGTTGTACCTCCAAATACATCAAACTCGTTGGGGTCCACGGGTTCGACATCTTCTTGGGTTGGTGGGGTTGGCTCAAGCACCTCACGTTCTTCCAACAGGCTAGTGTAGGCTTTTTCAATGAGACTATGAGATGAAGCGTCTTGGTCCGGATAGTGCAGCATGAAGAATTTGGTTCGGAATCGGGGATTGAGGACAGTGGCAAGCACTACGGCTTCACACTCAGCGGCCTCTGCTTGATATTTGGTGAGCCATTTTATCATAACATCGATGGCCTTCCGAAGGCTTGGAAAGTTTGTCGATTCGTTTTGATGTTGTTTCAGCTCAGTTATGACACGCTTGTATTCACCTAAGAGAATGCAACCGGTGGGACCATTTCCCTCAACTCGTGAGGTCGCATCTACAAACGTCTACAATTGAAAAAACCGTTGTCAGCAAATATCAAAGATAAAGAGATTCAATAAGTTGTTGAAGACATGTACCTTCAACACCTTATTGACCAATTCCACAGCATGCCATTCTGAAGGCGAGATCGTGACACCTTTAAAGAAGCAGGCCTTACGATCGGCTGCGATCATGGAGTTGATGACCTGTTGATTCATTCAATCAAGATTAGTAATCATGATGATGAAGAAGAGTGAAACAAAAAAATTACCTCTTGGGCCTCGCAAGCCACTTTACAACTTTCATAATGACTGTTCCAACGGGTCTTACAAGGGCGTTTGAGCATCCTGCCCTTGTATCCCATCCGTTCGGCACGAGTCTTGAAATCGTTCCTTCAAGCTGCACTACTGGCGATCTGTCCAGAGACAGCATCAATCTTTGTGCAACAAATGAGACATCCAAAGATTAGCATTGATGAATGACTCGTGTACAATGATACAACATAGAAATCCTTACTTACCTTTTGAAGAGCACCAGCAACCACATCCTCCTCCTCGCCAGTTTTGTCTTCTGCTCCTTGTTCTTTGTCAACATCCTCATCATCCACACCGTCTGGCTGGTCAGGTAAGCCATCCTCATCCTCTGATTCGTCAGAATCGTGGTACTCGACGGCGTCCTCGCCATCATTGATCTCAAGGCCAGGCACAGGCAGAGGGATGTCATGAGGTGTGGAGGGCTTGGCATTACCAACCTTCTGTCCTAGGGCTTTCAGGCCATGTCCGACTACTAGATTTAGTTTATGGGCGTAACAACGCACATGATGCGTATGGCCATTCCAAAACACCGGCTCTTCAGCGTCCGTGAACATTGTTTGGAGCTCCGTCGCCATTGTCGCATTGTTTCCTCCGCTGTCAGTAGTTTGAGCTAGCATGTAATCAAACCAAAACAAAAAAATCAGTACAAAAGAAACAAAGAGTAGGAGATAATAAAAAAACTTATCTTTTGGTGTAAGCCATGTCTGATAAGGAATCGGCCAATAGGTCTGGCTAGGAGAGCGCCAAAATGGCGCCATCCAACTAACTTTAGGGTGAGATGAGAGGACTGATACTCCCAGTTATTGTTGACGTAGTTTGCTGTAGCTCCAACAAAGGCATATCGATTGCCTTTGGTGGTCCAAACGTCGTGTACTAAGCAGAATTTGCCTTCGTTTTCCTACAAGAGAAAATAGGAACATGATTAATATAGTCATCTGAGTAAGTATAAGGTGAAAATAATAGAAGCAAGACAACTTACTTTAAGTTTCTTGATGGCCTTGCCGTGCAAACCTGCAAAAAGATCCACCGATTGTTGGGCTGCCCAAGTTGATGAACAAAGAACGGCACTGCGGTTGACTGAATCAAAAGCAGATCGAAGCGCTGGGTCTTCAAATCGAGCCCAGGGGAGCGCATGACGCACGATCCACAAGACCATGATCATGTTCAATAGGTCTACGGTGAAGGTTGGTGCACTAACAAACTCCGTTAATGTACTTTGATTGTTTTGTTCAGCCTCTAGCTTTTGAGTGTAGGTCAAGGGAAGTTCAACGCCCGCAGCTATTGCCTTGTGTCGTTGTCTGCAAGAGGGGCGTGTTTCGTTACCGTCTCGATGACCCCACAAGCCCCAGTATGATGTTGGACCACATTTATACGTGTTCAAACACCATCGGCACTTAAATGAGCGACCCTGGATGAACAAAATCATGAGAAACAAAACAGATATGAGGAGGTAGAATATCGAAATTGAAACAAGGACTTACTTTCTCGCATTGTTTAGGTGGAAAAAAATACTCGCAGAGTTTCTTCACATCAGCAGACCGTTGCCGATTATAGCCAAGCTCGGTTTTGGACCCAACAATCTCGACTTCGGAATCTTGAGATAAGTCACCAGCTATATCTTGAGGAACCTCAAATGCCTAAGGAACAATCAAAAGTTAACATCCTGCCAAAGATAACACGAAATCTACTTACATTGCCTTTAGACCTCTTGCTGGATGGGGATGGGCTGCCACGTGAGCTTCCAGAAGGTGATCAAACATGTTTACTAATGGAAGAAAGCGTCTACAGAATCAAATACTCAATTTCAATGTCAAGGTGTATCATGGATCGGAAGGAATGAAGACTTACCTTTCCTTTTCCACGAGGTATTGGCTTAGACTTAGTAGCTGGTACTTTCGACTTAGTCTTGATGGCTGTTGGTTGAGGCGATGCAGCCCGTTGAGAAAGTGGTCCAGAAGTAAGGCCTGTTGAATCGGTGACACAGACTGCAGTACGTGAGTCTTGAGGTGGGACAACAAAACCTGCTTGTTTGCGATTCGGACTAGGGGGCCGAAGGCGTTGACTTGTTGAAACTTCACCGGAGTTTGGAACCTGGAGGGTAAGTTGCGATGAGCTGTTGGATGGTGCCATTGGGATTTGGAGAGATTATGAAATTATAAAGGAATTGTGTCAGCGTTTTGAACGAACGGAATGATTCAAAACAGAAAGACTCACCTCAGTAACCCTATATAATGGGAGAAATCGAGTGAAAAATACCATGGACCACAGGTTGGCCCATGGTTGAAGGCTGTCCAGGGGTGTTCCTTCATTGGGCAAAGTGGTGAAAGTGTATAGGTGGCGTTGGCCACCTAGCGTTGTTCAGTTGAGAAGTCGAGATGGTGATGCTGATTGATATCGGGAATTGAGACTAGTGGTGGGAAGGGTTAGTCAGGCAACCTGTATCCCTGGGTTTCCTCCGCCATATAGCGGAGAAACCCGGTGCCCCGGTCCTTTGCGGAGCGAAAGCTCCGCTCTGAGAATTTTGGCAGGTTGAGTGCGGGGCGTAGACCGCGCTACAAAAATCAAAGACTACACTCTGGCCTTGGACCGCTCCGCACCCGCTCCGCAAAAGCTATAAGATGCGGAGCGATTCTGGTATTGCCAGGCGACAGAGAAACCCTGGCCAGGCGTAGATTACCCTAACCCACTTCAAACTCTGCCACGAACGAGACAAAGGGACCAGTCCGAAAGAAACAACTAAGAACCCTTCTAAGCTAAGATACCAGCAAGAGTAACACTTTAAATACGGATGCTATTCTGCAAAAGAGAGAAGAATCATCCCATCACTACATCATTAGAAAAAACCCAAAAACTATCTTAAAGCTTTTTCAATAAAACTAGTTAGAAGATCTTAACCGACTTTCTTTCTTATTCCCTTACTTGATACTTCAGCAGAACTCTTGTTATTTTAGAACTCTTATAATTAGACTCTTTAAAACATCTTCTCTAGAATCATCGAAAACCTCTTTTTCTCTTATTTTCTCTCTCATATCCAAGAAGTACTCTAAAGATCATTTAGTTAGAACTAATTGACTGGAGACTTGTAAACTTTGGATATTTCTCTTTTTGATTGAACTTGTTTTCAACACTTTTGCTAAAGCAATACTAAAGCCAGTTTACCTTAGGTATCCACTTTAGGAAGGAATCTTTTGAAAACATTTAACTTAAAAGATTTCCTCTCAAACATCAAGATATATGAAGAATCAAAAAATAAGTTTACAATATTACTTCAAAAACATACATTTCGTAAGTCTATTCATCCTGAATCACATTACCTAGTCAACGGTTTGTGTACTTAGGCTGACACAAAAAGCAAACCCAAACTCAAGATGAGTCACTGTGTTTAGGCGCTAATTGCAGCCTCCCCAAATCCTAGAAGGAGGGGTATCTCAGCCAGGTAATACATGCTCTTCCTTTGCAACATCTCTCCCAAGGGATCGACCTTGCGTGGCATAGACGTCCACCAAGAGAGTGCCTATGGCAGCTTCATCTATATGGCTGGGATGGGGTGCTATGAGCAACAACCCGAATAGTACACCGGGAATCTAGTCTTGGGCGCATAAAGCCACCCTTGACTTGGTATACAAACCTAAGCCAATTGAGAAGGAATCCTCCGCTAGTAAAAACCGGTAAGCTCACCTTTAATTTTTCTGTTGTTCCTTTCAAGGCTTGGGACCTGAGCTCCCAAATGTCTCATCGTGAAATTCTTCTTCTTCAGAGCTGATTTAAAATTGTCCTCTCTTTCTGCCTCTGACGCCTTGTCACCTAGGCTCCATCAACCATCAGTACATTGGTCATTCCTGCTCCAGTTCCTGTAGGTTCAATGGAATCGCCATCAGCATCTCCTTCTTCAACCGTCTCTTCTAATATACCACCTATTGTCGTTGGAGGATCACCAACCATTGGAATCAAATAGACCGGGGCTCTGGAGCCTGCCCGTTTTGCCCTGTTTTCAGCCTGAATCCGTTCTTTTTCTGCTTGCATTCTTTTCTTTTCTTCTGCCTCTGGATGAATTTGATGTAATTTATTCTTTGCAGCCACAAGTTTGTCTTTCTGGGAAGCTTCCATTATGAAATTCAGAGAAGAGGGGGAAGGAATATATAAAGTAGAAAGAAAGACTCTTTTGAGGTTTAGAGGAGATTTTCCCGAGTGGTGATCTGGGTTAAAACTGATGAGGATTTATAGCGTAAAGTTCAAAAATGATTTCTATGAATGTAAGAATAGAAAAGAGCTGGGATGGCTAATCAGAGCTGAGAGGTAGGCAGGCGTGGGAGGAGAAGGAGAATTGGAAGAGAGGATGAAAATTTTTCCATCTCTTCCGTTTCAGGATTCTGCCAAACCTTGAAGCCGTCCCGGTTCTTGTGGCTGCCCCGCACTCCATAGCCCGTCCCTTTACGTTGCGTAATGGACTCTAGCCTACCATCGCGGGCTTTGGGTAAACTAGCAATCCCTTTTGGCTTGAAGGTGTTTGTTCAACAGCATGAAAAATCCAAGGTTCAACCTCCATCTACCCCCATGCTATTTCTTGGTTATGAACCATTATCTGACGCCGGAAGATTCCTCAACTTAAATCAAAAAGCCAATTGAAACTCTTCCTACTAGAAAAACAACCTACAAGATGAAGGCACCAAAAAAATCACCGCTACCTCAAAGATTCAGGGTACCCCGGTAATAGCTTCACCTCCTGCAACTCCACCTATTCCAACTGTTGTAACTCCACCTGCTCCAGCCGCCAAGGTAACTGCACCACAAGCTCCCAAAACATCTCATCACATCTTGATTCCTTATTCAGACAAGACTCCAAAAGACATCTCTTCAACTATTGACTCATCTAATATCCTTAAAACTACTCGACGTAAGAAGACTAGCGCAACCAGTGAAGCTGAAGAGGAACTTGAAGTAAATCTTGCAATTGATGTGAGTTTGAGAAATGCTTTGAACAATCCTGACAAGGCTCCTAAATGGAAGGAGGCGATGGAAAGCGAATCTAACTCCTTAATCTCCAAAGCGACCGGTACTAATCAGGATCATGAAGTGATCTCTTAGGCGCATTACTCTTTCTCACTCATATGTGCATCACTATTGGATTCTCTCTGCTTACATCATGATGTGTGATCGAGTTCCTCAGGATCCTATAAAGAACATCCCAAATCATCTTGTTGTTCTCTTTCCTCATTGAACTCAATATTTTCTTCTTTGTCCTCTTCAGGTGTTAGTGTTTGTGTAGCCTTATTGGTTCTCTTATGACAATCAAAATCAATCTTTTCATTTTGCATCACATTCTTTCTTTACAGGAAGTTGTTTCCTTTCAATCACTTGTAGTCTTCCTCAGAAAGACTAAGTGTGATCTTTGTTCTCTTCAGGTAAACATGTTTCCTTTTGATCACTTGTAGTCTTCCTGAGAAAGCCCAAGTGTGATCTTTGTCCTCTTCAGGGAAAGTGAAACTTTGATTACCTCAGTTGTTTGTACTCTTGTTTCACAACCTGATCACGACAAAGTCATAGGCGGAATGTGGAGATTGAAGAAGAAATTAAATGAATTTGGAGAAACATCTTGCTTCAAAGCTCGATGGGTATGTCTAGGAAATGATCAGGGAGAAGGAATTCACTACTTCAGAACTTACACCTCAGTAGCACGAAACGAATCTTTCAAACTACTTCTTGTGCTTGTAGTTCAAAACAAACTCTACGCCTATCAATTCAACATCAAAACTGCGTTCCTTGAAGGTCTAATTGACACTCCAATTTGTGTTTTGCAAGTAAGTGGATTTGAAGAAATTGGCAAAGAAGAATTTGTTTGGTTATTGTACAAATCATTGTATGGTTCTATACATGCGCCTTGTTGCTGGAAAGCCAAGCTTGTGGAAGTATTGCTGACCGCAGGTATGGTATCATCTCAGGGCAACAAATCTTTGTTTGTGAACAACAACAAGACCATGTTCCTTGCAGACACCACAAGGAACGAAATGGTGGCATAGTCCATTCTCATGAAAGGTCAAGGTAGTTGTGTGAAGGTAACTCGTAAGGATGCGTCAAAGTTAGAATTTGAAATCGTGAATTTCAAACTCTATTGATCCTCCACACACACTTCCTTGAATCCTTGAAAAACCTTAGTCACAAGTTCAGCTCTTTCTTACAACTTCATTGCTCTCTAACTCGTCAAAAATACCATCCGACCCACCCGACGAGTAGAGATTGGTACCCACCCACCGACCCAAGCTGAAAACGGCCCACCCTCAGCCTGGTTGGTTTCCGAAAACCAACTGAGAGGCGGGCCCCGGCTTCCCCCATAAGCTCTATCCTCACCTTCGAGGCAAGGATAGAGCGGGTGAGTTACCACAGGCCGCCAAAGGCGGCCACATATGTAATCACCCTCATCCAAGTTAAGATGAGCTAGAACTGGAACTAGAGAATGGATTCACATTCACATCGACAATGGGTTTGTAGTAAGTAAGAACAAGGACCTAATCATGCAACTCTTCAAAGACTTGAAGAAGCACTTCATGAAAATCAAAGAGTGTCCAACTCAGCATTTAGGCTATAGTCTGGACTGGAAAAACAATGGTTCAATACTTCTTCACCAAACCTACTTTGCAAAAAAGACCCTGGAACGCTTTGAAATTTCTAATTGCAACTCCATCAAGACTCCTGCAACAATAAAGATTCATGAACTAGTTTCCAGTCAAGGTGATCCAGTCAAAGTCCTTCTATGTCAACAATCCCTTGGCATGTTTAATTACCTTACTCTCCACACTCGTCCTGACTTTACATTCAGGGTAAAGTTACTCACTCAGTTTGCAACTAAACCAAACACATTTCATTGGTCTGCAATCTGCCACTTGTTCAGGTATTTGAAGGGTACTCTCTCCCTCAGTTTGCTCTACACTCAATCCACAAGTAATCAACCCAAGGTGCACGGCTGTGCCAACACAGATTATGCTACTTCATTTGTCACAAAGAAATCAACTTCAGGATTCACCCTTACCTTGTACAACAACCCCATCTGCTGGGCAACAAAGAAACAATCCGTCATTGCACAATTGACAACCGAAGCTGAATACATGTCATTGAACAATTGCGCCAAACAGCTCCGCTAGATGTCTATTCTAATGATAAGTCTCAATTTAAAAATCTCAAAACCACCCTTACTTATCGACGACAACACCAGTGCAGTGACAATTAGTCAAGAAGCTCAGTTGAATCCCAACTCTAAACATATTGAGGTCCGATATCAATATCTCAGAGACTTAATAATGAAGAACCCCATGTCAATAAAACAAGTTGCCTCTGAAGATATGATAGCTGATGTTTTAACCAAACCCTTAGAGCATCCGCACTCGTTTGCGGTTGTTAACTTGGTCATGTGCGGTAACAACCTCTACATTAAGTAAAAAATTACTTAACGCAACCAAATTCCACACTTGTGCCAAAATTACCCGCACAGTGGTTAAGTAACTTGAGAGATAATTCAAGTTTCCACACTGATACAAAGGTTAAAGACTCAAAATATGCCAAACAACCGAATCAATCACCTTTGCAATCAACCAGTGCATTCCAAGTGATTCCTGCCAGGAAAGAGCTCTGGGACAGCAAGATTCAACTGACCAATCTCATCACAGATGGATGGTTGGCACAGAGAGGTTTATAGACAAGCAAATATTAAATTCATTTCATCATTAATTGAAAGAGATCATGTTGAAGACCATGGAGAATTTGAAAAGAAATGAAGATAATGAAGATCCTCTTGCATAGGTCCCCCCTGCAGTTAAATGCAATTTTTTTTATCAAACCCTTTTGAAGTCGATCCAAACAATGAGAATTGTTTAAAATCCTTCTAAAATTCAAACAAACAATAAGAAATCAATCCATTTTGATCTAAAAACCTTTTAAAACCAACTCGAAGGATAAGAAATCGATCTCGATATGATCACATGGAAAGTAGAACAATCTTGATCAATATTGGATAAGGAGAATCAGACAGTAAGAAACTAGCTAGACATACCATGAGTTTGAGGAACTAAAAGACAGTTTGATTTCCATTGATTTTCAAGTCAGGTGTTTTGAGTCAAGAGAAGTCAAGTTGAGTCGGAATTGAGTTGAGTTGGCAAGTTGGTGTGCTTGAAAGGTGAAGGGAGGGCTTGCGATTGGGCTACCACATGTGTTAGCCAATCGGTAAATTTACCGATTTGCTAACGCAAATCGATCAAAAGTTAACTACCGCGGGGCTAATTTCTCACCAGTGTGGGAAAGGCTCCGCAGTTGCGGTAAATTTTACCTTACCGCACGCGACTTACCGCACGAGTGCGGATGCTCTTAGGAAGTGTAAAACACCAGGTAGCTCTTAATCAACTCAAGATGGTGCATTGTGATTTAGGGGGAGTGTTATGATTAGTAAGAAGATTGGTAATTCACAGTGTAGTCCTGTTGGGTTATTTGTGTTTTGCCCTGTGATGTTGTTTGTGCTGATTGATGTGCTGCCCTAACTATGTGTGTGCTGATGGATCATTGAATGACGTCATTGATATGTTTCTCTTAAATACTCAACTCCAAAGCTCTCATCATAAACAATTAAACTTCCCATTTCCATTATCTTTTTTTCTCTGCTATTGTTTTCTCTGATCATTAAATAAGTTGTGTCAACCAACAATTTGTTCCAATCACTCAATACTACACAACACATCTATTCAACTGCAAAGCTGAATCTGAATCGAACTCAAGCTCTTATCAAAAGGAAAGGAGACTTTCCCTTTTGGTTACATTTTTCAATTCAAAATTCCTGTTACAAAGTTGAATCTCATGAGTGTAGTTATTGTTAAAGAAATTAAAAATATAAGTTTTGTCCAAATAAAGAGAGATCCTACCATTCACTACAAAAATCCCCCCAAAGTTTGGCTCTCAACAGCAGATGGCACATGTAATGAACTGAACCACCATAACACAGGTGGTTCAGACGTCCATGAGGGACTTGCAAGGCTTGTGACAGGCCCCGTGAAAGATTCATTGGCGGAGTGATGGTTCTCACCCTACCCGCGCACACCGTGAAAATCTTTCACTCTCAGCCAATCACAAGGATCTCCCACGATCCCTCGTCAAGACTCCTCACCAGTCCACCACACATCACATAGGCACGTGTGTGTGTTACATTTCTTTTGCTGCTACAAATGGACGACGCGGTGAGGCAAGCAGCACAGCGTGCAGCACAACTCACGATCACAAGGTCAAGATCAGTTGCATTAGGACAACCACCAGGACCACCCCTCGCAACTCCGCACAGGAAGACAAATCAGAATCGAGTCTCCGACACCTTAGACGGAGAACCCATACAACCAGACGAAATTGATCAACTGATCGACGACGCGGCGGAAGTACTCCAAGGACCTTGGATCGACTCGGAAGAGGAAGACGACGCCTCATGGGCCCCTCCGGCAGAGAAGGGGGAAGAGAGGGCAGTTGACAATACTAGCCCAACCCCCTCCCTAGACCGACAATCCACGTGGTCACAATCAGGTAAGATTTCAAGGTTTTTTCACCACAAGACCTCCCATCCTCCTTTCCCCCCCCCTCAGGGCCGAACCAGCAAGTTTTATCTCTCTGCACGAGCTTTCCAGTTGTGAAGGGGAGCTAAAGGCTCATGATCCCGAACGAGAAGAGACCCATGATCCCGTGACTAGGGGGGTACTCCAGTACCGAGTGTATGCCCTCCACGAGCCCTATGCAGAGGGGGAGCAGAAGTTGTGTTCAGCATGAGACCCGTTGGGGTGCGAACGTGATCAACTTAGGTTTCTAACATACCTTCGAATTGTTGACAGACCGACGCCATGTGAGCCCCAGCAACCCAAACGACCGGGTGTCGTACTTGTTCAACGTGGGTCGACATGCAGAAGCTCGAGCCCTTCTAGACTATATCACAAGCCAAGTCGCGAGTAGTGTGGTCAACGACGATGGCGAAAGGGTACCAGTGGCAAGTGGAAGCGGCCTGGCACGATCACGACCATACAACTTGTTGGCAGACGAATTATCGTCAGCCTCAGACAACGTGGACGAGGCCCCGTTAATAAAACGCACCAGAATGGACAACCACCCTAAGGGTCACACACCAGACCGGGTAACACTACACCAATCCAGCGGCACCTCCTTCCACCCACAAACTTGTACCCCCCTCAACTTGCAGGCTCTACAGCAGCCTCTGCGTCCACCCCCCGTTCCGCAAACTCAACCTCAAATGAGTAGACTGAACCCGGATCACGGACCCCCGCAGCCACGCCAACCCAACTCCAACATCCCCCCGGGACAAACCCAAGAAGACGAGATCGAAGCGGAGCAGGTCAAGATACTCCTAGCGACAAAGAAGGGACGGTTAGTGCTGCGAAACGGTGACGTGATAGAAAATGGACGCTGGTTGATAGCGGACGAGTCAGAGGAGATGGAGAAAGGACTGACCCCCCTATCCCCAGTACTCACACATTGGTTGAAAACATTTAAATCCTACATCCCATTGACGGTTTTCAATAAGTACTTCCTCATCGAAGACCAACATGAGTGGAGTCGACGGAAAGCGCCAACCGAATCCAAAATCGATGAAGGAAGCGCAGCTTTGAGAGCGTACGGAGGCCAACCACCTCCAGAAGAACTTACGATGCAGTTCGAAGATTGGATCGATAGGATAGCCCTCTTCATAAAATACGTGGCAGCTGAGGTTTGGGTTACGTTAGCGGAACGGTTTGACGGTCACCGGAAAGTCGTGATGGACTTACGCGAAAACTACGGATGGATGGTAGCTTTGCGCTACTGCCGTTTGATACGTCAAGGTGTCATGAGGGAAACGGTAGACAACCAAATCCGTAACTTCAGCAAGATTCAGTCAGCAATTTTCGAAGACGCCAGGATTACGGCAGACTCACGACAAGAACGAGCCTATAGGACCAATCCTTACGCCTCAGGAGGCCCTCTAGCTCACCTAAACCCTCTATCCGGTTTACCACGCCCATCCCCATCCATGTCCACTACCAAGAAGACCCTCTACGGCTTGGATGCGATGAAGGTGAAGACCGAACCCGGTACGGTAGACCCCAGGGGTGCCTCTTGGATACCATCAGCAAAATGGAGAACTATGACCGCGGAAGAGAAACACGAGGCGAAGAGATCCCAAAGCGGAAGTAGCCGTCGTAGAGAGGAGGATAGGGGTAGAGACCGCGGCTCTTATAGAGATCGGGAGTACTACCGAAGTGACAGAGAAGAGCGAGGTAGATACCGCAGACGGAGTCACTCCAGAAGTCGCAGCCCAAAGGGCGGGAAAGGAAAAGGGAGAGGTTGAAACCCGTGAGCAGCTGTGTTTGAAATGAAATCATAAATGCATTTCCCTATCACCTCAACAGAGCCCTCTCCCACACGGGAGAGTGATGTGAGATTTAGACCCAAGTTCAAAGAACTGATTGAAGATGGAAGTACTTACCAACCGAATCGTGAATTCACCCATCCCCCCCTTTTTGCCTAACCCAGATTCTTCCCAGAAGTGCCACAATCAAAAGCACCAACCCATGAGTCCCAGCCAGATATCTTTCCAAAAACCCGAACAAGTGTACACCCAAAGTGGCCCACCAAGGCATCATGCAAAATGAATGTGCAGGTGTGGCAGCGAGAACTCTCCCGAGCCGGTCTTTTACCGATCTTCAATGACATCTTGATCGGTTTGAGATCAGGTTTCGACCAAGGGATCCGGAACGCAGTTGTTCCAGGGGTCAAATACTTTTGCCCCCCTAATCACTCGTCAGCGCTAGCGGCAAAAGGGAAAATAGAAGACAATTTCAGACTAGAATTAGAGACTGGTCGCATGTTCGGACCTTTCTCTAAAGACGAAGTTTACAGACGTTTTGGGTTTTTCCGCACGAGTCCAATTGGGGCAGTGGTGAATGGAAACGGTTCCACTCGACCAATAAAGGATCTGTTGTACCCACGTAATAACGCCACCGTAAAGTCAGTAAACACAGACGTAAACAAATTGGATTTCGAAACGACCTGGGATAACTTCAAGGTCGTCGCAGATTTCCTATGCACAACAACAGAACAAGTTCTTTTAGCCATTTTCGACTGGGCTAAAGCGTATCGACAGGTACCCACCTCACCAGACCAATGGAGGTACCTAATGATTCTAACATTCGACGACCAGGTCCTGCTAGACACCAGGATAACCTTCGGCGGCGTTGCAGGATGCGGAAGTTTCGGACGCGTGGCGGATGCATGGAAAGCGGTAATCCTAAATCGATTCCCACTCCTCGCGGCTTTCCGGTGGGTAGACGACACAATGTTCGTGAAGGCAAAAGACTCCAATCTCTCCCTAGACTCAATAACAAACTTGAGCAGGGAAATGGGAGTAGTGGACAACGAGGAAAAAGCAAACGACTTCGCAGAGGAACAGAGATATCTCGGTTTCATATGGAACGGCAAAGACAAGACCGTCAGACTGCCTGAGGCAAAGAGACAAGAAAGGATAGCAGACCTGACAGAATTCCTCTTGTCCGAAACCCATTCTTTCAAACGCGTCGAAAGTCTCGCGGGGCGCCTAAACCACACGGCAATGATCTTCCCACAAATGCGCTGTCACACGGTAGACATCTATCGCCACATGGCCGAGTGGAAACACAAGTCAGCGACTCGAATAACACCACACTCAGTGATGGTAGACTTACAGTTGTGGTTAGAAACTCTGAACTCGGCGATACCACGTCGACTAATACCGAAGTCAGAGATCGTGAACGTAGGATGGGTAGGCGACGCCTCCACATCATACGGGATCGGCATCGTAATTGGCAAATACTGATCAAAATTCTGTTTGCGTAGAGATTGGGACCGAGAAGAAGATGGAACAAAACATGGAATCGCCTGGGCAGAAACCGCGGCAGCTCGTCTGGGATACATAATGTTAAACAGTCTCAGAGAAGTAAAGGGACTGCGTTTCCTGATGCTCACAGACAACACTGTAACCAAAAACGCCATCAGGAATGGGAAATCGAGAGACAGGATGGTAAACCGAGAGTGGAGTAGGCTGCAGGATCTTCTGATCAGAGACCAGAGCTGCATCGAAGTGCGCCGGGTAACGTCGGAAGACAACGCAGCAGACCGGTTGTCCAGGGGGTACGACTCATCCAAACGTGTTTCGAATATGGTGAAAGTAAGACTTCCAGATGACTTGACCCGACTCCTGGTTCAAGAACGTTAGATCCGTAAAACCAACGACTACGTCCGCAACATCAGGAAATGGCGAACTTACCAAGTCACTTCCTCCAAGCATCTGCAGAGACATCTAGAGCAGGCCGCCACGCAGCGGCGGGTAGCTGGGCAAGATCAACACTATCAGGCTACAACTCAGGGATGTCTAAGTTCAAGGAATTTAAAGAAGCTACTTCCGACGGTTTTGACCCGGAAAAAAGGATATTGGATGAAGAGATATACAACTTCATAGCGTGGACTAGAGACACCATAAACCCTGACGGCCCGAAGAAACCAATCAGCTCCGTGACAACGAAGAAATATCTGGACGGCATACGGGCCTGGCACATTGTAAAGCATGTAACCGTACCGACAGCGAACCCAGCCATCATCAAAACTTTTTTAAATGCGACAAGAAGAGAAGAAGAACAGAAATCATTAGTCACGACGAAGAACCCGATCATGATAAGACAAATGTTCGACTTGATCCAGTACACTTACGACAAATCAATAATAGACCAGTTGATAGGAACCGTAGGCCTCGTGGCCTTCTGGGGCATGGCCCGTTTAGGTGAATTACTGAGGACCTCAGTAGAAGACGGGGCGATCCTAAGACGGCACATCGAATTCGGTAGGAGACGCGGCACCAAGTTCGTAAAAATCCACCTTAGGAAGGCGAAGACAGCTGCACCGGGTGAAATCCAAGAAATCCGCCTACAACAACAACTCCACGTCTTAGACCCAGTCGCAGCCATAGAACGATGGTTCAGAATATCACCAAACAAAGATCCGGACAGTATTCTGTTCGCGACGATGGAGAAAGGCGAATGGCGTCCGTTGTCGAAAACCCGTTTTGTAAACGGAGTAGAGAAAATCTGGGGGAAGGCAAGTACGTCAACTTGGAGCGGTCACTCATTCAGGGTCGGAGGAGCCTCTCTTAGATTCAACCTAGGAACAGAAATGGAGAGAATAGCAAAACAGGGAAGATGGACATCAATGACCTACTTGCGATACCTAAAACCCTACAGCGAAGATGATGTCGAGGACACAAAGCGCTTCATAGAGGCTATCCACGACCCGGACTGGGGCGAGAGACAGACCTGAAAGAGTTAAGATGGATGAGAAGGATGGAAATTTTTTTTGTTTAAAACAGAACCAGATGAACAATTCTGGAAATACATATTAACCAGTGAGAAACACGCAAGAAGATTTGAAAATGCTTGCAGAGAAGAAGCATGAAAGCGCTCGAAACCTTAAACGGAAATGAATTGAATGAGTTCAATTGAGTAAGCCACAGGTATGTGAATGTGATCGACACATGCTGAGAAGGTCGATGAAGGACCTAAAGGCAGGAAACCCGGGTAGCCAGGCGCTTGGTGACCGTTTTGGGGGTGTGCCCGGGGCTCAGGACGATCTACCAACCACCTGAGTAGTGGGAGATCCGGACACACGTACCAAAACCCAGTCGCGAGACTTAGGGGGGAGGGCGGGCTCGGGATGGAGGACCCCATCCCGTAGCGTTTAGGTTCAAGGGAACCAACCTCGGTTTGGTTTACGAAAACCAAACCCGGGGCCGGGGCCCCTTCATTTCCCCCAACCCGTGCCTTCCTGGTTCTCGAAGCAGGAAGACACACACTGGGTGACGTCAACAGTACCGAAGGTACTGAGACCGTTGGTCTCAATTTATGCTCAGCAGAAATTGGAGACCAACTCAATCCATACCCTAAAGCATAGCAAGTAGGGGAATGGATGAACTGAACCACCATAACACAGGTGGTTCACACGTCCATGAGGGACTTGCGAGGCTTGTGACAGGCCCCGTGAAAGATTCATTGGCGGAGTGATGGTTCTCACCCTACCCGCGCACACCGTGAAAATCTTTCACTCTCAGCCAATCACAAGGATCTCCCACGATCCCTTGTCAAGACTCCTCACCAGTCCACCACACATCACATAGGCACGTGTGTGTGTTACATTTCTTTTGCTCCGTCCCACCCACCCGGCAAAAGACGTCCCACCCACCGACCCGATGGAGGACCCCATCCCGTAGCGTTTAGGTTCAAGGGAACCAACCTCGGTTTGGTTTACGAAAACCAAACCTGGGGCCGGGGCCCCTTCATTTCCCACAACCCGTACCTTCCTGGTTCTCGAAGCAGGAAGACACACACTGGGTGACGTCAACAGTACTGAAGGTACTGAGACCGTTGGTCTCAATTTATGCTCAGCAGAAATTGGAGACCAACTCAATCCATACCCTAAAGCATAGCAAGTAGGGGAATGGACTTTTCTATCTAGCTCTGGATGAGTAGTTCAGACCCAATCTTTGAGGGGCTTTTTTGGAAGAAGTAATCAATTTCATTGGGGAAAAAAGTGTACATTCTGCGCAAGACCACCACACACAACATTGATTTTGGGTCTGGCAAGATTCCTTGGTAAATGGAAGGTACCAGAGGCTTGCAAGGACGTCCCCAGCCAAACTCTTGTTCCTGACCTTTGTCTACATGCAAGTTTGGTGCAAGTCCCTCACTGGAGCTTGGTTGCAAGTGACCGTGTGGGACTTTGTTAGGTTTACTGAAGTCAAACATTTCTGAAATTTGGGAAAACACAGTTTATAATTTGGTGCATTCAAATTTGCCAAATGTCATAACGCCAGTCGCCAGAGCACACCAAAAAAGGAACTTCTGGTGTTCTGGAAAAAACCTTCTGGAAATTTCCAAAAAATATTTTTATACCCTAACTGATGACTTTTACTCTAAACTATTGGTCTTTGTTATTTTTTGCTTTCTTTCTTCTTTTATATATTCCTTTCTTTCTTTTTTTGCTTTTACTGGAGATTGAATATTTTAACTGATAGTCTTGCTAGTATCCTAAATAAAGACATTGCAATATGTAATGGCTCCACTGAAGGATAGGAGCAAGAAGGACCGGTTGTGTACATAGTTGATAAGATTGCAATGTGAGGATCAAAAGGTACAACTGGCTTCAGAGCTCAAAGCTAATATCTAATGTGTAGATGTTACAGTATGAGCATATGTTTATAGAGAGCTCAATACACATACACCACTTGTACTACAACCATCGCATCCACGTGCGCGACATTGTGCGTCTGAGCTACAGGCTGTCCCTGAACACCCCTCGCAATCCCCACCTCGCGAGCCGTCATCATCATCTTCAAGAGAAGTATGTGATTTCCTAAGACTTTTGAGCCCTTGAATATCTTCTGAATCCTCTATAAATTCACACATCATGGTTATAATCAAAACACCTAATATCAAGCTAAGTGAAACCATCTTTCTTAATTGGATACCAATCATGATTGATGTGAACCAAAAATCTCAGTATTGATTTACCCAAAAGAAAATGCTGGTTGTGCAGGAAGAAAGCTGCTTGAAGGTGAGATATTATTTGGACCAAGCTTCAGTTATAGGAAGCCGTGATGGAGGTTGGTAGATCAAGAATCCCTAGACTCACCAGGAAGCCAAAGCAATGAAATTTCGATAGTTGTGTATGGGTTCGGTGTTGAGGAAACCAATAGTATCTAGATCAATCAAGAGGCAAAATAGAGTGGCCATATGTAAGCTCAATATATTGTATATAGCCAGTTGGCTGACAAAGAGTGCAGGGAAACATACCAAGACAATTGTGCGCGGCAAGCAAAAAATTGATGAGATGCTTGGCTAGTGAGCAACTGGTCAGCAAATGAGGTGCCCTTTTATTTTTGTTGAAGACCGGATATCTTGCTCTCTGTCCAACACTTCCTGACCATCAAGTCATGGAACATGATGCTGCGTTCCCTTCCATTGTCTCCACATAGTGGTATTGTGTTGGCATTCTGTCAAGTTTTGCATTGTGGAGATGCTGATGTTGTGTCCCATTTTTGTTCTCATTGTCAAGATGCTGATGTCATGTCCCTTGATGTAAACTTATCAGTCCCCCCCACCTGCCTCAACTACTTGGGCGGGGGACTTTGATAAGAGGCGGGCAAGGGGGGCTTTGATAAGCTTACCCTTGACGTTTTGTTCTCCGCTTAGATTGCGTAAACCGTTTGGTGTTTTGTATCCCCTTTGACTCATACATACCACGACTTGGATGCAATAATGTACTTGGCTCTTGAACCTGGTCAAGAGTACGCAAAAATGCAGGAGTCTGGAATACAACACTGTTTGAATGCTGTGGGGGCCACACCCGCTGATGTCCAGAAATTGTGCTGGGCCTCTGCAAAGATGACAAGTACGTGATATGATATGTAGCAGCCTGTGCGGCGGGTCATGAGGCTGGGTTGGGTGTTGCTGGTATACCAAACCGTCTACAATTATGTACATGTTTTGATTGGGATCTCTATCACATTCATTAATACAAGGAAATACAAAACACCAAATAGTTTACATGATCAAGGCGGGGAACAAAACATCAAGGGACGTGACCAGAGCGCCGCCATCTTCTCCACAACATAAAACTTGACAGAGAGCCAATACAATACCACTCTTTGGAAGGGGATGCAAGTGAATGCAGTATCATGCTCCATGACTTGATGCCAGCAAGGCTCTGAATATACTGGCATCTAGATTCTGAGTACGTAAGATGGATCGGAAACCAGCATTGTATCTTACACCGATTTATTCAAATGCACGGAAGAAGTCTCTTTGTAGGTAACAGGAAGCAAAGTATATGTTTGATCAAACACGTTTAGAGTAGATTAAAGAGAGATTCTGAATAAGCCAGCTGCTAAACTTTTGAGGTTTGGGATGGAAGGCATTGGACCCTTGTATTTGAGTTGGATTATGGCCTATGCCGGCAACTTGATCAAGACCAATTGTGCATTCCAATTCAAGTGCTGATGGTCATGATCTCGATTTTGGATATGCTACGGCGGACGCAGACTCAAGTAATGATGCCAAAGAAACTTCATCCCCTGAGATGAGCTCACCAAAAGAGTCAATTTGGAGGCGCGTGAAATCTAAACCGAGTTCCACATCAAACCAAGTACGAAGCCAACACAACACAAAGACAATTCCAAGTGAAAGATTGGAACTGACCATGTCAGGAAAGCTGCAAGCTCTGGAACCCAATAATGAGGAAATCCTCATTGGAGGCAAGTATGATGTCTCACCAGTCTGATAAAAACACCTATCACGCTCATACCGCTGTCTGCATCAACAAATTTGATCAGCTGGGCTTTGTGATGCTCTTCATTTCTGCTATGGCTATGGCCCTGATCTTTTACAATATACAATTCTTTTCACTGCATTCTTCATCACTAGCCCGTGCTATCCTCTCCTCAAAGCTTGTCTCTGCTCACTTGTGGGCAGCCTACCAAACAAGCCAAAAACCCCATCCATAATGCAGCCTCTTTAAACCACTTCCCTTTACAATTTTAGCATCCAAAATATGAAACATAGAAATTAAAAAAAGAGAAAAGGACCAAAACTAGAATAACATATAGCAAGAGAGTTGCGTAAATGATCATTTATCTCAGTGAGAATTGCATTTGTCCAAGTAAGTTTTAAGATGATTAAATCTGCATGTGTCTTCAATATAATCTGCTAAATATGGAAAAACTGCTGATGTGTCCAACAATTTGACTGCTGAATTAATATCAACTTTCATCTTCTCCTTCTTGATCTTTGTCCTGAAAGCTTGTCGTTGTTTGTTGAATTTTCTGCAAAACCTGCAAGATATCAAATCAAGAAGTGGGTTGGTCATGGTGTTGCTTTCACTTTGCAGAATTCACAGTTGTTGTCCTTGTAAGCTCCTATTCAATGTTGATTTACATATTAACAGATTTAATAGGTACCAGGCGCATATTCAATGGTATTTTTAGTAATAAAATGAGTTGTTTTTGCTTCTGATCACATTCATGTCTCAAAATTGGCTTATTTATCCATTTGAGACGCTATCACTACACCAAATGACATCTTTACCCAGGGGTATAGAAAAGTAGTGCAGGCATAGAAAACTATGGGCAAAGTACTTTTCTATGACCATAGAGATAGTATCCTCTATGCCTAGACAAACCATTCTGTTCTATACCCACAGATGAAAATATCCACATGACCACAAGGACTGAATATAAATCTAGACTTGAAGCCCTTCTTGAGTCTTGTCCGATGGGAAAGCATGTTCCATCAGTCATATTGTACGTATGTAAAAGGTGTCTGTCAATCTGTGTAAGATTGTGCACACATACTCACATACATTGCTGAACATGGTTGAGGATCTCTTTTAGGCAATTGATAAACCACGCCGGGCAGAAACAAAGAACAACGCCGGGTTTCCTTAGCTCGGACTCTTATGGAAGTTATACAGTGTGTATACAGAGGCGCATTGCCTCTAAAGCTGTCTAAAGGGTGTGAAGCTTCCGTAAGAGTCTGAAGCCGGGTTTTGGGATTGAAAGTGGGCGTCATCCCTTTCAAATTGTTATAAAGCTATGACGCCCACTTTTCCTGACATTGAAAGAGAGATACAAGTGGTACCCCTTGCTACTTCTCAGCGAGATATGTATCATAAAGGTGAGCAATCGAGCAAATTTTTCTGCAAGCTTGAGCAGGAACACTCATGGCATTCATTACAAACTGCAACCCCACCATGCACCCAATTGAATCTATGGAACCTCAACCATCAAGCCTGAGTAGCTATCCAGCTTTAAGCGTGTATCACAGTCATCATGATCAAAGACCAGATCCGATGCTCTTCAACATCACCACACCTGTTTATCCCAATTTTTACAACAATCAACAACTTATCAATCAGTCTATCCCGGATATTGCTTCATCCCAGCTAGCTGCACCTTATCCTTCTGACTACTTACCATCTCATCAATTCAGTCAATCAATTGCAATCTCAACACACTTCAATTCAGCTCCTAATGATTCAAATAGTGCAACAGCATCTCACCACCCAAATTCTACTGTAAATAATCACATCCTTCACAACCACGACTCAAATTTAGGACATCAAGATCAGACTGAAATGGGAAGTGAACAAGACGCAGATGGCGAGACAGATGAAGATGAGAATACCAATGAAAACAAAGATTGCTATGAGTTCATCAGAGAAGAAGAGACAGAAGGAGAAATGTCAGATGATGAGTCTGAGGAAGGGGATCATCAATGGGGCGATTGTGTGTTCCTAATCTTTTATATAAGGATGACCTTGAGCTGATCCTGTCTTTTTGGTCAGATGTAAGCAATAGTCAAGACGATGTAAGGCAAAGTGTTCGGATTGATGAAGACTGGCCTCCTCAAGGTCCGTTTGACCTCCACAAATTTTGATTTGTTAACCGAACTGTTTATCAATCTGATATATGTCTGATACCTTATCAGGAGTCAAACCAGTGCGTGAACTGTGTCCACCACGCGAAGGCAAAATCTTCAAGGACAAAGAGCTTGGCCAACAATACCTCGAGTGTGTTGCAAGACATCAAGGTTATGCCATTGTCATCAAGTCCGATAAAGGCCCTCGTTCTCAGAGCCGATACTTTTATTGCACTCGTGGTCACCAGAACACCAAACGTGGTGCAACAGCTGAAAACGCATCTGTATCTGGTCAAGCGTATAAAGTCTCTGACACATCAAGTTCCAAAAACGACTCAAAAAAAACAAGAAAGAGCAGCACAGCCAAATCTGGCTGCGAGTTTGGAGTTTCTTTAAACTACTGGTCAAAGCAAGGTCATTGGAAAGTGAAAGTTCAACATGCACGTCATAATCACACACCATTTCGGAGACCAAATGACTTACCTCGCCTTCGTCGCTTCAAGCAACCGGAGGAAGAACTTCTTCAAACTATGTCCGAGGCCAATGTTCCTCCTCGCACAATTCGAACCATGCTTCCAGGAGAAAGTGCCCATCGTCCGATGCGAGATATCTACACCACGGGGCAGCTGGCACGTGAGATTCACGTGAAATAGTTCTCTGCCAATAAATCACGCGCTGTCCACAGTGCGATACCCGTTGTGAGCTACACATGACAGCCAGGGTGAGCAGCTAAAGCGTGGTGGCTCACCTGTCCATTGGGTGAGTCATCTCACATCATAACAGTGTGAAATGACTAATCCAATGAGCGGTGTGGAAATCAATTTAGATCTCACTCTAAGAAACAATTTTTTATTTATTCTTTAATGTGTTCCTTTAAAATTCAGAGTCGATTTCATTGGAAGATCTATTAAAATCAATTTAATTGCAATTTACAATTCTCAGTTCAAGATTCTCTATTAATCATATTCATTATAACTTATTTATTTCACAATTTGCATAAACATTAGTCTTTATTACATTCAATTCAAGATAAAAGATAATAACATGATGAGATTCAAAAT